AAAAAAAAAAATCCAAGTGGTTGTAAATTGTAATGGGATCATCAACACGAATGTCCAAAAGAGAAAAATTACTAGCTACATATAAACAAGAAAAAGTTATTAGCCATGATTTTGATACCATCACAAATGTTACCTTACCATTGTTTTCTCGAGTTCGTTTATTCTGTATCTCCCCAACTAGATCCTCAGGCTGGGTCGGCTGCTTCTTCTCAGCATCCATATCCACTAACTTTACCTTGGCATCACCACTCTTACTCCCATGTCCACCATTCTTTTCCTTTTCTGACCTACGATCTTTTTCCTTCGATTCCTTCCCTTCTCTACGCGAAGAAGAGTCTCTCTCAGACTTACGCTTCGACTCCCCTTTGCTCTTACTCTCCGCTTTCTCCAGCACTAGGGATGATAAAATCTCTTCTTTTTTCTCTCCGGCAGATCCACTTTCATGCCTTTTACTCTTACTCTTCGAGTCAGTTTTCAAGCTTTCACCTTTACTGCTATTCTCCTTCGATTTGTGTATATCCTTCTCAAGCTTCAAACTCTCACCTTTGTGAATTTCCTTCTCCACAATCCTCTCGCTTTTATCCCCCCTCTCGTCTCCACCCCCATTCCACCTATCGCCAGCAACAACAGCATCCGTTTTCTCTTTCCTCCGCTTAGAGGAAGCATACTCCTCCACAGCATCTCCATTCCCATGGCCACTCAGATCTTTACCGTCCTTGCTTTCACGCGAATGAGATAAGACTTTACGCTTCTCACCAGATGCTGAATCCCTATGGCCCCGCGTGGAGCCTTCGTCCCTGCTGCTTTTCTCATCAATCTTGACTACATCTACTTCAGAGTCAGAATAATCCTTCAAACTATGTTTGCTCCTTTTATGCGATTTGTGCCTCGAACTTTTGGGCATATCTGCAACCCGTGCAAGAGAGAAACAATAAAAGCACAACTACTCACGAAACCAAAGCCCTATGTCCACACTCCAGCGACTAACAAGTGTAAAAATTTTACTTTTCCAGTACAAAAAATGAAGTTAGAGTAGCACTGTTTACCCCAATAACAACAAGCAGGATATTAGAATAAGGCCTTAATCCCTCGGGAAATCAGAAACCCTAATTCAACCAATCCCCAACAGAAAAACTTGACAACAAAATCGATTCCACACCCAATTTGAACCGGAAAATAACGGCGCCGGAAAATCGAACGTCTGCAGTCCGGTGACTTTGGCCCCTCCCAGATCAGGCTGATTGCGGCGGAACAAAAAATGGGGAATCTGTCTAAGCGTTCACCTTCCTCTCTATGTTTTTTAAATGCATTTGCCACAGAAAAATAGATGGAAAATAAAATAAAATTCGAAAAATTTGCAGAACAGCTATAGAAAGCGTGAAGAAAAAATTGGAAATTTTTTTCAAGAGGGAGAGAGATCGGAGGCGAAGTGCATTGATGTTTTTATGTTCGCTAAGGGAAAATTGAAAATGTGATTCGTAATTGGGGTATCGCGGATAACTGGGGCTGGCTTGTAATGACAGCTTTAGCCCTCCTCTGGTCACGGAATTACGAGGATTTCGTCGTCAATTATTTTTTGTTTTACCAGTGATTCAAACTCGATATTTATGATTTTTTTTTTCTCGAAACGATATGATTTATAAAACGCACAAAGTGCAAAAAGGTGAAACAACTACCAAATGAATGGAACGACTAACAACCGAATAAAAGTGAAAGGACAGATTCGAAAATCGCCTAAAACCTGCACTAGCAACAGAAGACAACGCACCTATAACACAATTAAAAAAAACACCAAAAATACAAACTCCCAAGGAGGAGAATTAGCGGTCCCACACGGGATAATACACTACTCGCACAGGGAGAAAACAAAATTCCCAAAGGAAAAAAAAAAAAAACAACCTAAAACCAAAAACCACAACACCTAAAACACTGAACACCTAACACAAACAAACACACCGAGACCACAAACTAAACACACAAAGCCCTTTCCACAACAGATAGACCAAGCCCCGCTCGAAGCACCAGCAGACACGCGACCAACCCAAACTAATTGGATCGAAGCCCAAGAACCTGCTCCCGGAACTACCCAAAACGTCTAACTGAAGTCGAATCCCAACTCCGAACAGTTCCAGGAAGACGACCCATCCTACAGTAGGAGGAACAATAAACTCGCCCACCCCTACCACTGCTCGGCCCGAATTGAACCAACACCACGGGCCCAATCTGGCAGCATCGGGAACCCCACGAACCCAACTCCAGGGATAACAGAAGAAAAGGGCGAAAAATCCCTCGATTTACATAGAGACATCGACCTATCCCATCAATCTAGTACATATGAAACTTATCGCAATTCCAGGGATTGGTAGGTGACCGAAATCGAGATCCCCATTCCATTTGGCGAAAGTTACCTGAACTGAGTATCCTGAGAGTAACGTAATTCGGGTTGGTCTGAACTCTCATAGAAGATTATATTACCGGCAAAGGAAAGAAGGTGAGTGAGGGGCTTTAGAGAGAACAAGAACGATGTCATTTTTTTTTTTTTGGGAGTATTTTGAAGTGAAGAACAAGAACAATTCGAGAAAACAATATAATGATATATAATACTACAAATCTCAAGGTTATGTTATTTTATCTGTGGGATTGAAATTCAAATAAGATAAATAGATTAGCTTGAAAATAAATAAATTTTTTATTTTATAATTAATTTATTTTTTTAATTTTAAATTAAAGTAATGGTATAATAGATTTTTAGCATGTACGCCTCACATAAAGGCACTTAGGCCATCTCCAGCAGTGCGCTAGAAGATGGAATTGCGCTAGAGTTGTGCTAGATGTGGTCTCCAGCACTGCGCCACATATTGCTCCACAATACAAATATATACAGTGTCGCGCTACATATAGCGCGGCACTGTTCACGCAACTTCAGATTTTTTTTTTTTTTACTTTAATGTAATGTGTTTAATTTGTTATTTTATTAAATAAATTAACTTAATTCATTTAATTTGTTATTAAATTTTGCCTTTTAAAATTTATTTATATTTAACTGTTATAATCAATTAAAAATTTTAAAATAAAATAAAAAATACAATTTTTATTAAAATTAAGAGATACAACACAACAACAAAATATATAATTCAAAACATAATTTCATAATATAAATTAAATAACATGAAAATTATGCATAATTAATTTAAAATAACAGTTCTAGTAGTCTCCCAAACCACTACCAGATTCGCCAAGATCTTGAAAATATTCACCAAAAACATCAGAAGGGTTAACTTGTGGTGTCTGTGAAGATTGTTCTTCTCTTTTATGTAAAATTCTTTCTTCCTCCCGAGTAAAATATTCACGTCGACGACTATCTTGTATGGAATCCAAATCCATCATTAAAATTTTGTTTTCTTCTGTCCATGTGGTGGTCTCGACCATTTGTCTTCGTAACTCATTTCTTTGTCTTTGAATTTCAAGTTTTTGCCTTATTATTTCACTGTCGTGATCTCTTTTCGCGGCTGAAGTAATTATTAATTCTCGAAATTTTTCATTTTCTTCCTTTATTGTCTTCACTACAACAGACACATCATCTCCTTTTTATCTCTTTAATTTTGATTTTTAACGCCTTCTGGCTGCTGTAATGATGTACCGCCACTAGTATTTTCATCACTTAAATTTATAGAAAAATTAGATAGCTCAGGATTAGGTGAAATTGGGGACTTTGGGAGCCCACTGTGTTGAGACATTGTTGAACTTCGCCTTTGTGACGTACACTCGAACAACACGGAGTCTTTCATAATTGTCCACACATGCTCATACTTGAATGGCTGACTGGTTTTATTTTTAGGGTCCTGCATAAATAGTATCTTTGAACGCTCCATCTACACAATGAAAGTAAAAAATATTAAGAGATTATTAATTTCTCAAACATACTTAAATTATATGAAATTTTCTTACAACATCATGTTCGGAAGCTCCACTGATGTAAGCATTTTTAATTTGCTGCACACATGATTTGAACAGCTTCACAGCAGTGTTGATAATACCCATGCGATATTGAATTGATCTTTGTGGACGATCTGGCCACATCGGATTTGGTTTTTTGGAATTGTACTCGTTGGTGACACGATCCCAAAATTGAGCTCGACTTTGATTCACTCCCACCACTGGATCTTGAGAAATTTCCATGTATGACTGACATAGGTGTTGATCTTTGTCAGTTGTGTAGTTGGTTCCCATCGACACAAGAGACTAAGAGGAAATTGATACACTTGAGAGAGTTATTTTTGTATGGTAATGGTGGAATGGTATGTACTGAGAGACGACATTTTATAGTGAAAAATAATTTTATTTAAATTTTTGGATAAGAAATATACGGTTCAGATTTTTTATAAGGAAATCATGTTTGACGGCATGGATTATAAGTTTAGATTTTTAGCCTTATCTTTTTGAGATAAGATATGATAAGGTGAGAGAAGATATTATTGTTTTATTTATTTTTTTAGATAAGAAGTATACGGTTCAGATTTTTTATAAGAAAATCATGTTTGACGGCACTGATTAAAAGTTCCGATTTTTATCCTTATTTTTTCTAGATAAGATATGATAAGGTGAGAGAAGATATGATTTTTTATTTATTTTTTTAGATAAGAAGTATACGGTTAAGATTTTTTATAAGGAAATCATGTTTGACGGCACAGATTAAATGTTCAGATTTTTATCCTTATCTTTATGGGATAAGATAAGATAAGATTTGAAGGGTCAGATTTTAATGATATCTCATCCTATGGCCTAAAATTATGATGGTAGATTTTCTTTACTATTATTTATATGGATCTTTTGTATCATAGCATCATTCATTTTTAACTTTTGCCTTTCAACCAAATATGAATCCCAATTACGTAGGCTCTTCTTATGCATTTTCCTCTTCTAGTTCATCTGATGATGAACTAGAACAACTTTTAAATAGTTACGATGAGGAACAACAATTGATATCTCAACAAATTTACAATAACAATCTTCTCGTCCAAGAACTTCTTGAAACACAAAATTTTGGTCGGAGACATGGAGGTTCAGTTCCTGGTCACAAAACAATTTTCCGTGATCGAGAAGCGGCTGCTGATCGCCTTTTTAATGATTATTTTTCTGAAAATCCAAAATTCAATGACACAATTTTTCGTATGCGCTTTCGAATGTCTCGAAATTTATTCATTCGTATTGCAAATGCTGTGAAAAATCATGATAACAATTTTTTGCAGCAAAGAAATGCAGCCGGGAGACTCGGATTGTCTACATTTCAAAAGTTAACTGCTGCAATTCGAATATTGGCTTATGCAGTACCAGCTGATGCAACTGACGAGTATATTAACATTGGTGAGTCCACTGCAATTGAGTGTGTGAAAAAATTTTGTCGTGCTATTGTTGAGATATTTGCAGAGCAATATCTTAGATCACCAAACACCAATGATATTGCTCGACTTCTTCATATTGTTAAGGAACGTGGCTTTCCGGGAATGTTAGGTAGTCTAGATTGTATGCACTGGCGGTGGAAAAATTGTCCTACTGTGTGGGCTGGTGCTTATGCAAGGCGAAGTAAATCACCGACTATTATTTTAGAAATAGTAGCTGATTATGATATTTGGATATGGCATGCATACTTTGGTATGCCTGAGTCCAATAATGACATTAATGTGCTAGAGCGATCCCACTTATTCTCTGATCTTACTAGGGGGATTGCACCAACAACACATTATGTCATACAAGGAAAAGAATATAATATGGGTTATTTTTTAGCTGATAGCATATACCCAAAATGGTCAACTCTTGTCCAAACTATTCGTGACCCACGTAGTCCAAAAAAAAATATTTTGCTATGAAACAAGAAGCATGTAGAAAGGATGTTGAACGTGCATT